TGTAATGGCTGAATATGTACTGCCCTTTAGCTATAAATGCATTATTTGTCTCTTTTTCTCTTAAATTTCATACTAAATACTGCCCGGCACTGCACGGTGCTAATAATGTATTGCCTGGTACAGTTTAAGAGTGTAAAATAAGAAAATATACTTATTTAAAAAATTTATTGTATATAGCAATAATATGGTAAACAAATATAATATGAAAGCACCAGAATACTGAAATATCTAGGTCATCTGAGAGAGCTGATATGACAAATAACTGACATACATGTAAAAAAATAATAATTAAAAAAATAATAATAATCAATAAATGCAGACCAAACTGGCAAATCTTAAAAAGAAAAATGTTTAGCAAATCTTAATGGAAAACTGTCTAGTTACTACTGACTATACCAAATAGGGAGATAGTCTGTTCTCTGAATGATAGAAATTATGTAAAAAGAAGTTCCTTTTCCTATCTTTATCAGTCATTAAATGTTAATATCATTAAATAATATCAATAACAACAAAGCTGCAAGTCTACATAGTACACATACTCTGATGATAATAATTTTATTTACACTTTTTTTTTTACAATAAAAACAGGGCAGACATACCCTTGTGTTTCTGCTTTTACGAGTAAATACTATTGTGTATTAAATCTATAACAAATGTTCTAAATGTGAATAAACATGTCATAAATGGATTCAATTTTAAAACTGTCTACCTCATAAAAAATCTGAAAAACTGTATAGAAATGTATACAAATAATATAAAAAGAGACTTCTTGACACTAACTTATTATCAAAAGATGGTAAGTACAAGAGTCTTTCATGTAATTTTTCTATTACTAAAAATCTGTAGCAACCTTAAGAATCTCAAAACAAAATATGATGCTAAATATGTTAGCAGGAACATTGCAATCTTTTTCCCTGCCATGCTGAAAATGAATTTTCCTGATGATACGTAACTGTAAAATTCATTTTCAGAAATAAAAACATCAAGTTTGTAGGTGGTGACATGAGCATCATAATTAAAAACATTTTCTGTATATCATGATTTTTTTTTAATGAATTACTAATCTTTGCATATTATACCTTGCTAAAGGCAATACACAACAGATGAACATGCAAAAATATTCTATACCACGAAAGTGCTTTTGTTCAAGCATGTCAGACTGTTATAATGTTAAATCCTATCTTTCATTTGTATTATCAAAGAAACTGCATGCAAATTTGCTGAACTTACATATGAATCAGCTAGTCATACCACTAACTTTATAGTGATCTATTCATTGGTATGTTGATCAAAACTAATCAATTATGATTATGAGGCCAATCTGACTGCTCTTCCTTAAAACACAAGTGACATGGTGCCATTTCATGATACCATTTCCCCCAAAGCAAGGAAAAATACTTAATGAACATACACTAGAGAACACCATGGTAATATCTAGAAAGTGACTTGGTCCTGTGACAAATGCCAGGATAAGAGTCTACATTACAAGAAAGCAGAGAAAGACAGAGCCAGAGCCAGAGCCAGAGCCAGAGAGAGAGAGAGAGAGAGAGATAAAGAAAGAGAGAGAGAGAGAGAGAGAGAGAGAGAGAGAGAGAGAGAGAGAGAGAGAGAGAGAGAGAGAGAGAGAGAGAGAGAGAGAGAGAGAGAGAGAGAGAGAGAGAGAGAGAGAGAGAGAGAGAGAGAGAGAGAGAGAGAGAGAGAGAGAGAGAGAGAGAAGAGACAGAGAGAGACAGAGAGAGAGACAGAGACAGAGACAGAGAGAGAGACAGAGACAGAGACAGAGACAGAGACAGAGACAGAGACAGAGACAGAGACAGACAGAGACAGAGACAGAGACAGAGACAGAGACAGAGACAGAGACAGAGACAGAGACAGAGACAGAGACAGAGACAGAGACAGAGACAGAGACAGAGACAGAGACAGAGACAGAGACAGAGACAGAGACAGAGACAGAGACAGAACAGAGACAGAGACAGAGACAGAGACAGACAGAGAGAGAAGAGACAGAGAAGACTGAGACTGAGACTGAGACTTGAGACTGAGACTGAGAGAGACTGAGAGAGGAGACTGAGAAGAGTAGACAGAGAAGAGAGAGAGACAGAAGAGACAGAGAAAGAGAGAGAGAGAAGAGAAAGAGAGAGAGACGAGAGAGAGAGAGAGAGAGAGAGAGAGAGAGAGAGAGAGAGAGAGAGAGAGAGAGAGAGAGAGAGAGAGAGAGAGAGAGAGAGAGAGAGAGAGAGAGAGAGAGAGAGAGAGAGAATGAGTGTGTGAATGTGTGTGCAATTGCTTGTATGTGTGTGTTCTCTCCAAATGTTGACTTGGCAATTCTCTTGATTATTGACTGATCAATTAAATGCAAGTAATCTCAAGTTATGTTCTTCCATTTTTTTTTACATTAGGCTAAGTGTAAATTTCAGCATGTTTTAGGTTCTCTTAACTTATGAATTCTACAGATGACTCCTGAATCAAATTAGTAGAATCATAAAAAAAACATTCTGAG